GGCGGGGGGGAAAGGTGTTCGGTATTTTTCTTTCAGCCATCTGGCAACCCTAACAGTCACTGCAGCAGCCCAACCCTGCTGCTACTCCATGCCAGGCCCTTCAGTAATCCCCTTGAGAAAAGGGGTTTGGGAGAAGAGGTGCAATGAGGGGCCAGGGTAGGGTCTAGGGACATGGACTCTCTGGCTAGACTGTGAACATGCTCTGGCTGTAGATGATCCACAGGCCATGAGTTTTAGATCGCTAGTTTACACAGAGCTCTTCTTCAGGTCTGGGAAAGGTACCCGGAGCAGCACAGCTAAATACAGGGTGGAAACATACTTCCAGGCACCATTCAAAGTGAAGGGGTCTACTAACACCCCTCCCATTATGGGGGGAAGGAAGACGGAGACGGCAGTTGGAGAGGGGCTGTGAGTGGGTTACAGATTGGTGTAATAGGCCAGACATCCATACAGCCTGTTCAACCCATGATTTTTAGTGCCTAGCAAAGCTATACACTTAAGCGCCAAGGCCGTCTTTTGAAGATGTGCAAGTTTGTTTCCTTTGAGGGTGAGGACTGATAGGTCAGCTATCCAGTGATCACTTGGTTGGAAGTTTTCACCCCCATTCTAGCATTTTTTTGCATCTGTTATCCTGGCAGGGTCTGGTGTTGCTTCGCGTTGGTGTGTTGCGGTCTGTAGGGAGTCAGCTTCTGATGATGAGGCTGGGGGGGTTGTTTGAAGGCCAGAAGTGAGGGTTCGGAGAAGAGCTTTCAGGATTAGATTGTATTTTTTGGATGAGCTCCAGTGTGGTAATAACTAGGGATGTGTGGTTGGAGTGGCTTTGGTTTTTTTCTTTACTGAAGCACGTTCTTTCAGGGTATTTGGGGGTCCATTCCATGATATGATCCACCTTGCTGGTGGAGTGTCTGTGTTTGGGGAAGGCACTTGGAGAGTGTTAAGGTGTCTGTCCTGGACTTTCTCCTTGGACCTAGACAAAGGGAACAGAAAGAATCGGCCATTTGCTGAGATAGGCCTGAGATCTACGTCCGTCAGCCTGTGATTGCAAGGAGAAGCCTGGCGCTGGTATCTGGAGAACTGAGCCATGCTGTGTCTCAGGCTCCATGAAGAGATCTTGGAGTATGGATAGTTGGAACGGGTCTAGTTATAAAGAGCCCCTGCAGCGGTGTCCCTGGCCTTACACCAGTATTGGCAAAAACAACAGTATGTTACATGATATGTCCATTTAGAGGGGAAACGCATTTAGCCATTCCCTGCTAGATAATGGGGTCATGAGCAGACTCTCAAGTAGTGACATGGTGACAGGCCCACTCCTTTAATGACTTCCACCCCAGCTTCTCTCTCTCTCTCTCTCTCTCTCTCTCTCCCCCCCTTCCCCCCCTCCCTCCCAGCAAAGGTGGCATCACTTTTCCTTACTCCCAGCAAAGCCACATGCTGCCCTGCAGAGGGAAGAGGGAGCAAGTTCTCCCTTGAAAGGGTATGTCTACATTTGCTCCCTAGTTCGGAGTAGGGATGCGAATGTAGTGTACCGAAATAGCTAATGAAGCGGGGATTTAAATATCCCGCGCTTCATTAGCAAGATCTCGCCCGGTGCGCTAGTCCAAATCACAGCTGATTCGAACCAGGAAGTGCGCACCGGGACGTGTTAGTTCGAACCAAAGCCCTTGGTTCGAACTAGCGTTTCGCCTCATTTTTTGGGTCAGAAAAATCAGTCAGGGGCCACATAAAAGTAGAAGTAAAAAAAACCAACCCCACAAAACCCCACACCCCACATTCCCCTCACACACCAGAGCCCTGAGGGGCCCAGGCTAGTAGATTTGGTGGGCCCCCACCCCATTCTGGGGTGGGGCCAAGAATGTGTTCAGTGTGTGGGAAGGGGCTGCCAGGAAGTGGGCTTGGGGTGTGGGATCTGGGCGGGAGGGAAGGTGCAGGATTGCGTTGGGGGTTGGTAGGTCTGGGAGGGCGGTAGGGTGCAGGAGTGGAGTGGGAGTGTGGGGTCTGGGCAGGAGGGGGGGCTGCAGGGCTGGAGCACCAGCTCCCCAGTGCTAGTGGCGGGGCGGGGGGGAGCCCTGAGCCTCAGGGACCAGATCCAGACAAGCCAGGGGTCGGATCTGGCCCCATAGGCTGTAGGTTCCCCACCCATGCTGTAAGAGAAGCTGTAGCTGAGACACACACTACAGAGCAGTGTCCTTTTGCGTGGGACCTGTATTTGAAAGAGGAAGGGAGCTGGGAGAGGAAAGGAAGCTGATGGCGCCAAAGCTCTGGGAATAAAAAGAAACACCCCAGCCTTTCCCTGACTGTGTCACCCACCACCTCCGACCGTGCTCCTCCTCCACAGGGCTGCACCACCCTCGGGTACATAATCACTGTGAACCAGCTGCACTTACCCTCCGACCCGGCTCCATTAATGGGGTTTTGCACCCGTGTTGTAGGTGATGCTGCTCGGAGATTCAGGCGTGGGAAAAACCTGCTTCCTGGTCCAGTTCAAAGACGGGGCCTTCCTCCCTGGGACCTTCATAGCCACTGTCGGCATAGACTTCCGGGTGAGACCGCTGCAGCTTTCTGCACCTAGGCAGAGCCTCTTGTTACAACTCGGGACAAGTGTGAAACACCCCTTCCCCTCGGCCCCCCTGCTGATAATTGCTGCATGGAAGAAGGTTCAGTTAAGCCGCCCCCTTGTCTTCAATTGCAGGAGCTGTTACCTGAAGAAGGGGCAAGTAGCCTTGAGGGACCTTCTCCCTTCACACAGAGGGCACCAATCCCTGGCAGTGCATTAGCGTAAGGGAGGCGTAAGATTCAGAACTAAAGCAGGCTCCGTTTTTGCTGCCCTGAGCTCCGTCATTTTGACACGGGCTCTATTCTCATTGCCTGCTATTTCCAGCCTTCTGGTCTCACTGGGGCCTGATTCTGCTCTCACTCACACTGTGGTGAACTGGGGTTAGTGCACTCAGCACTGCAAAGAGATCCGAGTCTGGCCCCTCATCTGGAAACCAGAGGCTCCCAAAGGCTCGGTCTACACTATAGGTTTTTATCGGGAAAAGCTACACAAGTTGCGCTCCGTAGCTTTTTCCGATTGCTTTTCCAGAAGAGGCTTTTCTGCCATTTGGCCCTGTGTAGACGGGGCCAAATGGCGGAAAAGCCACCTCTTTCGAAGGAGCCCTTACTCCTCGTAGAACAAGGTATACAGGGCTCCCCGAAAGAGCGTGTCTGCTCTTCCACGAAAAGAAGCAGAAGAGCAAACATGTCCCCTGGACACGGCGGGATTTTTCCGGGACACCGGAGCAGTTTAGACCTAGCCAAAGGCTGTGTTGTACCTGAGGTCCATGAGGAGAAGGGGTGAACTTGAGGGGGTAGAGGCAGATAAGTGCCCAAACATTTGGGCTCTGATTCCATTATCTGAACCTTTTAAGCTGCACTCTGACAATGAGAGAATTCCTGGGGAGGAGGTTTATTGCTTCTTTATACGACCATAATACGTCCCAGCTCCAGGCATGGCCCAGGACCTCGCTGTGCTAGGCACTGTACAAACAGAACAAAAAGATGCTCCATGCCCCAGAGGCCTTCCTGATCATCCTCGTTGGCAACTGGGCCAGAATCCACCTGTTCTCATGGAGCCAGCAGCCCTTGCTGTGGCTGGGCAAGGCGGAGGGCTCAGAAATGAAGCCAGGGTCTCAGACACTTCTACCCTTCCAGCCCTCAAAGGACCTGCTCCGGCGGGGTGACAAAAGGTTCCCTTTGGCTTTTATTTAACCCAGACTAGTTCATCAAGCCCTCGCGGTAACCCACGTGTGGGCAACTGATTCTTAATGCAGGGTTGTGCCTGCTGCCTTGTGGGCCTGTGGGTGCTGGGCTGTGAGTCCCGGGATGGGGACACGTGCCCTTGTGGTGCTGTGGAAGGTGGTTTGTGGTGGAGGGAGTGCAGGTGGTAGCTCTGTGTTGAATGGCTGATTAAGCGCTATAGGATACATGGTGCTTTACTACGCGCAAAAAAATGAGAGGCAGACGCTGTCTAGATAGTGGGGTCATGATCAGGACCCTGTCTTAGCCCTTATGTGCCTCTTAGTTTTGACCCCCAGAGCTGTCCAGAAACGAAAGCCACATTTTACTCCATTTTAGGGATGTACAATCTTGTTGAATTAGTTAACCGGTTAAGTGCAAGACAGGAGACAGCAGCTGGATACAGACAGAGGGGACTGTACCAATGAAACTGGATTGGGTAGCATGATGGGCAGTGTCTCTGCTCACCAACAGCCTAACTGATGATTTCGGTGGTGCTTCTCCTGGGCGTGGAGCACAGTCTCAGCTGCCCTCTCTGCTCCGAAGCTGAAATCAGCGCTCAGACAGGAGAAACGGGAGGAGACCCTATTCCTGTCTCGGGCTGGGACGGGCGAGCGCATGCGTGCGACGTTGCGTATTCTTGCACTGTTGTAGCAGTGCTGCACCCTCAGACATCACTGAATGGAGAATTTTACTTGGGCCTCTCTAGTTAGTGTCCTTGCATTACTCCTGTGATGAGTGCTCAAGGTTAGCGTGCTCATATTAATTACAGAAGACCTGCGGCATTTAGCTTGCTAATTGGATGCCTTTTAAGGCCCCCCTACTGAATTCTGCCAGCTCTCTCATCTGCAGCCAGGGGAGGGGTTGGCAGCATCATCCCGTGTTGGCTGCATCATCCCAAGTTGGCACACCCTCCTCTCACCTGTTCAGAGTCAGGCCCTGTTATGGAAATATCTGCTGTCGAGAGGTACCCAAGCAAAGCAACCAGAGTGTCCAGGGGCATTCATTAGGAAGGCAGGCAGCCAATCAGAGAGTGCCCTGGCAAGTGACACCCACCTTGCCAATCATAACAACCCTAGTAAAAAGAGTAGCTGTTGATAAGAAACACCCACCCCGCCAATCAAAACAAGGGGAGTATCAAGGGCCTGGAGGGAGCCTCCAAGAATCCAGAGTACGAAAACATCCCCGGCAAGCCTTTCTGCACACATGGGGGGAGTCTGAGCAGGTGGAGCAAGGCTCCGGATTTAATGGCATTTGCTGCATCGCTAATATGTAACTAGCTGAGATTACAGATCTTTATTCCTCTCCCCTGTTGCCCTCAGATGAGCCCCTTGGCTGGACAGGGCCATGCTAAATTCTCCCCCAGCAAGAAGCTGCACTGAATTTTCTCTGCTTGGGTTTCCCTTTGTTCATTAACCTGGGGCAGCCGTGGAAATAACCCCGACCAGCACAGCGTCACTCACATTTGAGGTCCAATCCTGTAAAGTGCAGAGCACCTGCAGCTCCCACCCATGTCACCGCACAGGTTTGAGCCCATCTGTTAGCACCTCTGGCTGTCTACTGAGCCCCGAGGCCCTGAGATAAAAGCAAGCCAGGCAATTTGTGGCATCGGGCGTTTCAGTTCTGTGACAGGCTGGATTTCAGTGCAGGGCAGGAGAGAGAACGGTGCAGCTTGGTGCACAGTGCCCTGCAGGGCTGGAGCTCTGGAACTACTGGGAGCAAACACCTGCTGTGGGGTGCTTGGTCTGAGCTCTGAGGGGGTTCTCAGGAGACATGTTGTGTAAGAAGCCTTCATTCCCTACGGGTACGTCTACACTGCCACCCTAATTGGAACGAGGGTGGCTAATGTAGACATTCGAACTTGCAAATGAAGCCCAGGATTTAAATATCCCGGACTTCATTTGCATATTCCCGGACACCGCCATTTTTAAATGCCCAGTAGTTCGAACTACCTGCCCGTGGCTACACACAGCACGGACTAGGTAGTTCGAATTAAAGCTCCTAATTCGAACTACCGTTAAACCTCCTTGCAAGAGGAGTAATGGTAGTTCAAATTAAGAGTGTTAATTCGAACTACATAGTCTGTGCCGCGTGTAGCCGCGGGCAGGTAGTTTGAACTAAGGGGATTTAAAAATGGTGGCGCCTGGGAACATGCAAATGAAGCCTGGGATATTTAAATCCTGGGCTTCATTTGCAAGTTCGAATGCCTACATTAGCCACCCTCGTTCCAATTAGGGTGGCAGTGTAGACGTACCCTACGTTATTTCCAGATGTCTCCGTTTTCCCACTTCTAATGAAGACTGTCTAACCTAGGGATGTTCAATTTAGATTAACTAATCAACTATTCAATTAGTGTATAAGGCTCCTCCGCCTTTGAACTGTAGCAAGAGCCTTCCCCAGCTCTTGCTACAGTTCAAAAGCAGAAGCTCTTGTACATTTCAAAAGGAAGTCCCAGCAGGGAGCCTGGGATTCCCCACTGGCCCAATGCTCCCTGCAGAGCCTCAGCCTTTGAAATGTACAAGAGCCCTGCTGGGGCTCTTGTACATTTCAGAAGCAGAATCACAGCAGAAGGGGTGCAAGCAGAGACTGATTCAGTCCCCACTCCCACCGTTTCCCATTGTGTCTCTACCTCCCCTGCCCCCCACGGAGACAGTGCTGGGGGGAACCAACTTTTAAGCTAGCTACTTCCTGCACTGGCTCCAGCTCCCTGTCACTTGCTGCCTCTCTCTGATAGAGGCTGCGGAGGGGAAGCGACCAGTCACATCACTAGTCTGCTATCCAATAAGCTTCTGCTTATTGGATAGTCGACTAGTTGACTAGTCTCTCACAACCCAGGTCTAACCTATGGTATTGCTAGGGTGCCCATGGCCACGATACGTGAGCCCTAGCTCCTAGTCTCTCCAGCTGGATGTTCAAATTGTAGGAAAATGCATCCTTGATGGAGACCCAAGCTGGAAGCCTTCTCCACAGCTGCCAGTATTACTGGTTTCAGTGGGCTCATCCCATGACTATGAGCCCTTGAGTTGAAAGCCTTAACATTGATCTCTCTTAATATTCTGCCTTGTTATTTAGCTGAGAGGAAGAAGCAATTAAAGGAGACAGACCTACAAGAGGGTTACCCCTTACCTCCTTCTCTCTGTCTCCAGCTTTGCTCTGTCTCCGTGGAGCAGGTCTACCCACAATCAGGCAGTAGGATTCAAGAGGTCCTGTGAAATGCAGTATGAGGAAGGGGCAGCCCACTGGCTTTCTCACCATATTAAACCAGCGTGGGTTTGCTTTCTCTTACAGAATAAAGTCGTGGTGGTGGACGGTGTGAAAATAAAATTGCAGGTGAGTCTGGGGTGGATGCTGATGCGGCATGTGTCCTTAATACTTTGTCTGAGGGTGTCTGTACAAATAGGCAGCGGCTCTGTGGCTTTTATCTATTCTTTGCCATGTGTATACACGTCATAAGGTCTGGGGGGAGGGGAAGGGAAGTTGCTCTGTTCTCTCCCACTTTAACTCTTACAGTGACAGTGCACAGATGGCCAGCTGTTAGCACAGACATTTCTCAGGGAGATGGTGAGCTTGGGGGGGCAAAGGTTGTGCTAGGCGTGAGGTGGTACGTGATATGCTATATGTGCACGACACACACCACCTTTAAAAACCCCCCTTCCTAAAGGCCTGGGACAAAGGCTTAGTTTTTGCCAGCCTTTCGTGCATTTGCCCTCCGTAACCTTGGCAACCTCCAGCCTGAAGTCTGTCTTGGGACCTCAGATATCATTTCTATCCGGGGCTCTGAATCTTCAGACGGGTTTTTACAAAACCCCTTTCCCAGGGAGCAGCATACACAAGCAGTGGGTTCCTCGCTGCTTCCAACCCTTGCGCTGTCTCTGAGGTCTTAGTTTGTTGCCTTCTACTACACCCGGGGATTGGAGAGCTGGGAATGAAACGGGTGGCAGGGAGGGGTTTTCCTTGGTTTTCATGGGGCTGTTTCTTTGCAGATCTGGGACACGGCGGGGCAGGAGCGATTTCGCAGCGTGACTCATGCCTACTACAGAGATGCCCAGGGTAGGTTCTTGCGCAAGTTGGAGTCTTGCCCGATTCAGGTTCAGAGGAGAGCTGGAGTCTGCAGATGTAGTGAAGCTGCTCTTGCCACTAATACCTAGGAACAGAATCCTCATTAAACGCCCACTTTGTGTCTCTTCTTTTCTTCCAGCTTTGCTCCTCTTTTATGACATCACCAGCAAAATATCCTTTGACAATATTCGGGTCAGTATCTATCCCCTTGGACCTCACCGAAACCATCGTTAACTCCTAAGCCCCCAGAGAGGGGTAGCAGAGTTGCCTTGCCCCCTTATTCCAGGAGGACTGGACCTATTGCACACTAGGCAGCTTTTTAAGTGCTTGCTACACAAACCCCCACACCCGGAGTGGGAAGCTGTGTTTGGCTTTAAACACATTACACCTCAACTTGCAAGCAGGGGACTCTCCTTCCAGAGCCATCTAACACAGCCACTCCATGTGCAGTGCAGTGTTCCTCTAGCACCATGGGAACATCCCAGTGCGTGTCTACCCATTCCTCCTTCCAGCTAGCTTTCCTATGGGATAACAAGTCCCAGGAGAAAGAACTGCAGCAGGTTTCTACCCCCTGACTCTGGCAGACTGGTACAATGGGAGCATTTGTCCCAAGGCATCTGGCAAGGCAGAATGGCTACTCCTCTGCCTGTCCAGCTTGCACTGTGTTACCATGCAATGGGTGACCTTTGCCTTAGTCACTGAGGACATGGGGGAATAGCTGTGCACTGGAGCCCACATCCTGGGATACTGAACCCAATGCTGCAGAAAGCTGAGCACGCTTGACTCCCCTTGGAATCAGCAGGGCCCTCTTATCATGGGCCACTAGCAAGAAATGAACTTGGGGCCTTCAGCACTGCAAGCAGACCCTCTGCTACATGAGCTAAAAAAGAAATTCTGCTAGCTGCCCCCTATAGTAGATTGTTATCCTCTCCGACCTCTTCCATTGCTGATGCAGTTATGTTGGATGGTGGTAACATGAGTTTGAGTTTGGAAGAATTGACTGGTGCTAGGATGCACTGAAAGCCATGCACAGTCAATGGGTAGTGGAGGTAGCTGGTACCATGCTGAACCAGGGACACAAAGGGAGGCTGCCTCTGCGTCCTGCCACTTGGCAGATGATGTCCTGAGGCCCAGAACTGGGCGCAGGATGGTACAGATTGGCAGACTTTACAGGACACGGAGGTGCAGGGACAAACCATTGAGTAAGGTACCCAGAGAGGAGAGCTGGCTGGGGAAAGTTATGGTGAAACATTTTTTTTCCATCAGAAAACAGGGCTTGGTCAAAACCAAAACTTTTCCTGGAGGGATCTGTTTGACAACACGTTTGTTGAGATGGCTTCTCAGGGCCTGGGTGGAACTGCTGGTGGAGAGGGAGAGAAAGACAAAGCACCACCCCAGAGTAGCAAATAGCTCCCTGATTTGGAGACTCCCCTGAGATGCAGACACTCCAGATTTTAGTCTCTGCTCCAAATCAGGTGGAACAGGGATCTCTTTCTTTCTCTATGTTTCCCATGAAAAACGTTCAAAGGTCTTGGTTTCATTCTATATCAGAACAAAGGCAGACTTTGAATCCTTGAATTTTTTCTCCACCACTGATTGATGTGTCCCAGAGACCTTTGGGCATAAATGTTACAAAAACTGCATGGACATAGCAGACCATGTTCCATCCCTTTATTCTGGCTATTTTTATGCAGGGCCCTTTCCTCAGATCATCCCCTCCTGATGCTCCCTCCCTACCCACCATCCCCACAAACTTACAGTTGCATATAAATTTGCTTGTCTCTGCTCTTCATCTTTAAGCCCACATGATCCTCTTCCTCTCTTGCAGGCCTGGCTCACAGAGATACACGAATATGCTCAAAAGGATGTGGTCATTATGTTGTTAGGCAATAAGGTGCGTTATGTACAGTTACTCTCCTTTGTTTTATGCTGTCTCTCCGCACCTTAGACCAAGGGAAACCCAAAGTAATATGAATACGGCTCTGAGGTTTCCTCTCTTCATTCAGTGGCGCCATCTTATGGGGGCTTTGCCTGCCCTGTTTTGGAAGAACATGGTCTCCAACTGTTGTTGATCCATATCAGCTCTGACCATACAGGGCAGTTTGCAAGCTGTTCCACTTCCCAGCTTCACCAAACTGTGTGGCCTTGTCTGGTTTTCTTCACATCCTATCTACTAAGGTACCAGGAAACTCTGTCACATCTTGAGTGGTCCATTAGGCACAGGTGTAAGCTCAAGTAGGGTACGTCTAGACTACATGCCTTTGTTGCCAGAGGCATGTAGATTAGGCTACCAGACATAGGAAAATGAAGCGGCGATTTAAATAATCGACGCTTCATTTAAATTTACATGGCTGCCGCACTGAGCCAACAAACAGCTGATCAGCTGTTTGTCGGCTCAGCGCGATAGTCTGGACGCAAGGGTGGCGACATCAAAGGTATTTGTCGACCACCCAGGTATGCCTCCTGGCAGGAGGCATACCTGGGTGGTCGACAAATACCTTTGATGTCGCCACCCGCGCATCCAGACTATCCCGCCGCGCCGACATGAGCTGACAAACAGCTGATCAGCTGTTTGTCGGCTCAGCGCGGCAGCCATGTAAATTTAAATGAAGCGGCAATTATTTAAATCACTGCTTCATTTTCCTATGTCTGGTAGCCTAATCTACATGCCTCTGGCGACAGTCTAGATGTACCCGTAGATATGATCTTCCATAGACAATGTCAGCAGGGTTTCACTGTTTCACTCTCCCAAACCCAGAACCGGGCTCCATTTTAAATTCTGTAATTCCTTGACTTGGTTCGGTTAGCCTGTGTCAGCTTAAATACCCTCCAGAGCTGGTGTCAGTGGGAGAACAGAGTTCACAAGTGCTAAGCTCCCATTGCTGTGCCGTGTGACGGGTTTATGCACATTTACCTAGGTTTGGAACTTGAGAACTGTTTGAACTAGGGTGGCTAATGTAGTCATTCGAACTTGCAAATGAAGCCCGGGATTTAACTATCCCGGGCTTCATTTACACGTTCCCGGGCGCTGCCATTTTTAAATGCCCGGTAGCTCGAACTGCCTGCCCGCGGCTACATGCAGCACAGGCAGGTAGTTCGAATTAACACTCTTAATACGAACTACCGTTACTCCTCCTGCAACTAACCGAACTAGTTTAGCCATACCCTGAGACATTTAAAGGCTGCAAATGACTCTTGGGTGCATCCATGCATGCTGTGGCCAGCAGAGGGAAACCTAAGTCTGAGTTTTTAGCAGGTGAAGTCTAGGGATCCCTGGCTCCATGATGGCTTGCTAGTGCAGGCCGATTTGTGAGTGTTTCCAGTAAAACAACGAGAGAGTCATCAGAACAGAGGACGGAGAGTCACTTGCCAGGGTGAGCCACACATTGCGGGGTGTCCATCAATGCTGAGAGTATCTGGCCACTCCCTTCATTGGCCTGTCCTCCTTGGGCTGTGATTTCCTTTGCTGTGCTAGACAGGCCTTCACTAGGCTACTCCCTGGGGTCACAGAGCTGTTTCTCTGTGTCAAACTCAATTCTCCACCTATCACTTCAGTTCATCCAGCTCTTAAACCACTTACAGAAATTAGACATACTCTGCACCTCTGGGGCCTGGCAGTTCAGAGCCCCCGGCACCTCTGGGGCCTGGCAGTTCAGAGCCCCCGGCACCTTTGGGGTTGACATTTCAGAGCCCCGGCACCTCTGGACTTTCTGCATTAGTTGTGAATGTAAAAAAATTGTTGGAGCACTGGCCCCACTTACATTACAAATTAAGCCCTGACTAGGGGACTGTGTCTGGACTGGAGGGCTGGAAGTGAGGCGGTCAGATGTAGAGGAGGAGCTCGATGGAGTGGGAAGTCAGGGAGGGGTTAGGCTTTGGGATGGGGGAGGTTGAGGGCTGAAGACAGCAAGTGTGTTGGGGGAGCAATAGAACTGGAGCGTGAGGGAGGACTCGGGGAGGGCTGCATTGTGAGAGTGGCGATACGGTTGGGCGCAGTGTGGGGTAGGAGGAGCAGGATGGGGCCCTCTCTCCTCAGCCTGCCAAAGTATGGGCAGCCCAGTAATCTGTTTGCTCAGTGGGGTGGACTAAGGTTACATGAGGCTCTGCTCCAGATCCCCAGACAGACCTCTGTTCCCCTCCCCCACTGATCCGCTCTCCACCTTCTGGAATGATCCTTGTTCTTCCTTCCAAACCTGACCAACCAGGCGTAACCAGCCGGGCGAGTGCCTAGCGCTGCCCCCAGTTGCTCTGCCTCGGGTCCCGGCTCTCTCTGGGGACTCCTCTGGCCCTGGGCCCAGACTCGAAGAACCGGCTTCAATCCCCTGCTCTCCTGGCCGGTGGGCAGGGCGTGTTTCAGAGCAGGACCGGGGCTAGAGGACGAGGTAGGAATGGGCAGCGCGGTGGCTGACGGTGCTTGCTCGCTCCGCAGGAATACGGAGTGCCTTTCATGGAGACCAGCGCCAAGACAGGCATGAACGTGGAGCTGGCATTTCTGGCCATTGCCAAGTGAGTGACCGAGGAGCTGAAAGGGCAGCTTCTCATGCCAGGGCTGCCTTCCCATATGGAGGGGGCATTGATTTAACGTGTGTGCACAGAGTTGGGAACGGGTGCCCTGGGGGAGGGGGATATCTCTGCCTTTGAACGGGAAGTGTCCTCTAGTGGTTAGGTCAGGGCTGTTGGCTTCTGCATACTGACTGTGTGGGCAAAATGCTTAACCTCCTCTGGCCATCAAATTGCTCTTTCTTATTATGAAACTTATCGCAGTTTGTGACGCATGCGTATTTGGGCTGGTCAAGAAGGCGGTCTGATGCTTTCCTTTGAAGCCGTTGGCATTCATCCAAGGCAGGGACAAGTTGCAGGTCTGCATGGGCTGCTGGTCCGTTCCAGTCCAGCACTTCCCATGGGCCAACTCTGTAACACTCAAACACTTTCCTCCAGCTCGTGGCTGAGAGTTCTTGGAGCAGAGCCTGGGGTGGTGCAAAGGAACAGACTTCCTTTGACTTCTGGCCTCTTGTCTCCTTTGTTCTGGGAAGCCAAGTTCTAGCCCAGAGTTAATTTTTGACAGTCAGGTCACAAGTCCACGAATTGCCACCTACTGCCTCTGGAACGTGGATTATATTCCCAGCAGCACTTAAAAAATCCCCCCTGCTTTGCACCATGACGTGGCAGCGGCAGACAGGGCCAACACAAAGGGGCAGGAAGGGGGCTAAGCTGCTGCTAGTGCCTGGCTCACAGAGGTACAGTCAAGCTCCACCACCAAATAGAAAGATCAAAGGTTCCTTTAATGTTATCCCAGTGCTGCATGATCGAGGTGCATTGCCAGCAAATGGGCTTAACCCTTTGCTAACACATCTGTCCCATCCACAGCCCCTAGCCCACCAAGACAATACACTAGGAAGAATTGTATTTCCCCTTCCCCTGAACTGATGCTGCTTCCCTGGGTGGAACTCAGTGTCTCCCCATCCAAGTGGCTTTTGGCTTCCCGCACCCTAGCTAAGACATGGCCAGATGTATCAGCTGGCAAAGTGGGCTGAGATTGTAGCCTCTATTTGCTGCTAAAGGAAGTAGCACAGGCCCCGATCAGCTCCAAGAGCCAAGCTATGTATTCCACCCCCTCCTCGGGAAGAAAGGGAGGTGGAGCGCATCGCCTTTGCCTTTCTTGAGAGAGGCACAGCTGCCTCTGTTGTGCGCTGGGTGGCTGCTGCGATGTTTCACCGCTGTGCTTCTTTCAGAGAACTCAAGCAGCGAGCGGTGCAGCAGCCGGACGAGCCCAGGTTCCAGATTCAGGACTACATAGAGTCACAGAAGAAAAAGTCCAGCTGCTGCTCCTTCATGTGAGAGAGGAGGATGCCAGGCCAGGAAGGAGGACTAAGGGCACAGGGAGTCTGGTATAGAGCAAGAGGAAGGCGGGGCTGGAGAGGAAACTGGCCAGATTCCTGTCCTCAGAAGGCGGTCTAAAAATATATATATATTTCTGGCCATCAATTACCGATAGGAAGCAAACAAAGCTACAGTGAGAGCTGGTGGGGGGGGAGGGAGTGTATGTGTGTGAGCATGGGGTATATGTGTGTGAGCATGGGTGGCTGTGGGGAAGTTACAACAGAAGCCAAATAAAGACCAGATCCGGATTTCACCTGACTAGTAAATCTTACAGTGAGTATTCAGCCTTGGGGGTCACTCCTGGCAGCCCAGCCAAGGCCTTGCATCGCGGGAGTATCTTGCATTAACCTTGCTGTATAGCCCAGCCCAGTGTTCAGGACTCAGCTCCGAAGAAGCCAGGGCTGAGTGTGGATCCAAACTGGGCCAAATCTACATTGGCTGCATGGCCAGTGCCCCATGGACAAAGTCATCTTCAGCAACATAGCCACGACCCTGTATCTATCTGGATTAAGCCAGATTAGCACGACTGCACAGCTGGGGGCCTGCAGCTTTCCAGTCCAGAGTCGCCAGCTTTCTGTCCGGTCTCCGTGGGACAGCTCTGTTCTGGCATCTGGCAAGGTTGAGGAGTGGAGAGGGCAGGAAGACGTGTTTCTCATGCATTAGCAGGTGACATTTTCCTGCTGCGGATGAAATCAGCACAAGTGTTTGCTAATGGAAGGGGAAGATTTCACCTTTTCCCTGTGACATCTGATTTCACCTTTTCCCTCCCCGCTCTCCTCACCTGCCCCAGAGCATGTGCAGAGCAGGTGCCAAGCAAAGGGCTTGGAGAGCCAAGTGGTCTTACAGTGCCTGTTACCTTGGAAGAAAGCTGCTGATCACTGCACTAGCTGAGAGAGAGGAGAGCACTCTCCATTTTTCTGACTTTAAAAGGACTGTTTCCAATCTGCTGTTTATTTAGAATTATCTCAGGCTAAGCTGCAATTTAACCCTTTCCGAGACCCAGTCCAGCATGCCTCAGATACGCTCTGGGCCCCACTCCTGTTCTAAAGTATGGGCAAGCCCCTGGGGCGAGCATGAAACCAGCATCACCAGCTTGTTTGGAAAAAGGCGCTGGCTACTTGCTGTGGGATTGGCCTGGGAGATCTTACCGCTCAGACCATTGCACCTCAGTGGTCGCTCGCTGTCCGATGGAGCCAGGCTCCGTGCCTCGTCTTGCTGCTCTTGCTGTTGAAATCAAACTGCTGAAAATTGGGGGCCTGATCCAAAGCCCACTGGTGCCTTTGAGAGTCTCTCCATTGATTTCCCTGGGTTCTGGATCAGGCCCTAATTGCTGAACTACCAGTGTCCTGCTTTCAAATGCAACCCCCCTGCTGCTCCCTCCCGGGGTGTTCAAACAGCATTGCAGGTGTGAGCTACACCACAGGAGGCTTGACCCTCCCTGTTGCATCCCCATGGGCCTGACTATTGTAACACATGTGGTGCCTTGCAGAATTCTGCAGGCCCTGGAGTTCACCAGGGCCACACAGGGCAACTGAATGATATGGGTTCTGCCTTAGGGTTGGATTTCCTCAGGAGCCCGGAGGGCTCAGGGAATTGATAACAAGGCCAAGAGCCTTTGACCTCTAGGCCACTAGCTCAG